TACTAAAAATACAAAAAAGTAGCTGGACATGGTGGCGGGCACCTGTAGTCCCAGCTACTCAGGAGGATGAGGCAGGAGAATGGCATGAACCTGGGAGGCGGAGCTGGCAGTGAGCAGAGATCATGCCACTGCACTCCAGCCTAGGCAACAGAGCGAGACCCTGTCTCAAAAAATAATAATAAAAAAATAAAAAATAATTGCACCTTTTAAAATAACTAAAAGAGTATAATTGGATTGTTTGTAACACAAAGGGTAAATGCTTGAGGGGATGGATCCCCAATTTTCCATGATGTGATTCTTATGCATTGCAAGCTTGTATCAAAATATCTCATGTACCTCATAAATATATACATCTACTAGGTACCCCACAAAAATAAAAAAAAATTAAAAAATAAAAGGTGAAAAAGATATGAAGTTATTTCTAATCACAATCTTTGAAAAGCAATATCTATATTTAAGATTTAATATTGATTCTGGCAAACAAAATAAAAATACTATGGATCCTTGTTGAAGTGACTCCCTGTCATACTATGTAATCAGTTTTACTTTTCTTGTGGAATAATCCTCTTCACTTGCTCCCCAACCCAACCCACTAAATGGTACTGGACCTGTTCTCTTTCTTCTTCAAAATGTTATTTCTTCCTTACAAAAAGGGCATGAAGTCCATACTCAGAGTGGTAAAAAGACTTCCTGATGTCATGAAACTATAAAGCAGAAGAGTCCAATTTAAACCCTGGTCTGTTTTTTGTTTTGTTTTGTTTTGTTTTGTTTTTACAGCTCACGCTCTCATCTCATTATTCCTCTCTGCCTTGTGGCCACTGAGCCTCTATCTCACTCACTTTAATGGGAGCTGAGCCTAGAGAGTTTAAAAAAAAAAGTCAGCTAATATAAAGGGCAAGAGACAGCTTTTTAAATCTTGCAGACGGTGTACCCTTCAGGCATTAATAATGGGACTAACATGAGAAATAAATATCATCTAGATTCTTCCAGAGTACATTTTAATATCCAGTTTCTGAAAAGAGCAGGGCTTTAAACAGCTACCTAATACACTGCTTAAGGCATCAGATGACACTGATGTTGTCCACGCTTTGGTATTCTGAACTGGCAGCCTGAGCTTCTGAAAAACAACAAAGCCAAAACTGTGCTGGAGAACACAAAGAAAAGTATTTGTGTTTTCATAACAGCACATGTTTGAGATCTAAGAGCTAGTTTGCAGGGGGAAGTCCTCATTCTAGTGCATATACCACCTGCATAAAGCTGAGAGCAGGGACTCGAGTAAATGGAGTCAGGAGTTTCTGAGTCACAGAAAATCCGTTTCTGAGCCACAGAAAATCCATTTCTGGATTTCTCATATTCCAATGCATTATATAAATTTACCTATGTAGTCCCAATCATCTTCACCTTAAGTTATGGCTGCTGTCATTTCTGTAGAAGCTTTGGAATGCAAATGCGTACCTCTGCAATTAAGTCTCCATTTTCTGCATGGACCTGGGCAATTGCTCCAATTTCCTTGCATTGAGAGAAGGCTGCATACAGCTCCGGGTCTCTCACCATGTACAGATCTTTATAGGCCATAAACATCTTGAAAGAGTTAACACCTTTATCTTGCACAAGGATTTTCATTTCTTCTTTAACCTAAAAGGAAGCAGCAACCACAACAACAATATGTTACTCTAATTTAAATGATAATTTCAACATTCTCTAAAACGTTGCATTTGGAAGAGAACTAAGTAAAATAAGCACAACAGTTTAGTTCCACAAAAATGCAATCAAGGCCTTGATCTTTCTCCAAGG